TTTTTTGTGGTGCTGAAGTTTTCTTTGTTCTTCTTACTCTCTTGTGCTGCATTACTTTTGTTTGTGGAGTTTTTTCTATTTCTTTTGTTTTTGTAGGTTTTGTTTTTGCTGAGACTTTATGTTTTTCATCTTTATTTTTATGAGAGAAGACAGTCCTGTGAAGACAGACTTATGCTGCAGCTTCAAGCCAAGAAATGCTTGGGGCTAGCAGAAGTCAAGATAGAAAAGATGAAAACTTCTCCTGGAAATTTCAGAGAGACCATGGCCCTGCCAACACCCTGAATTTGGATTCCTTTTCTCCAGACTACCACCCGTTTGTCAGTTTGTGGTACTGTGGTGCCTTGCATGTTGCTATGATTCTAGAAGCTATGCCACTGGTATTTCAGATACCAGCAGGGTCACCCATGGTGCACAGGTTTCAGCGGAGCTTCCAGACTAAGACAGACTAGGAAGAAGGACCTGGTGGTCTACTTCTGAAAAAACTGGCCAGTGAAAACCTTATGAATAGCAGCAGAACATTGACTAATACAGTGCTGGAAGATGAGCCCCTCAGGTTGAAAGGCATTCAAAATACGACTGGGGAAGAGCTGCCTACTCAAAGTAGAGTTGACCTTAATGACGTGGATAGAGTCAAGCATTCGAGATCTTCATTTGCTGATGTGGCATGACTCAAAATGAGAAGAAACAGCTGCAGACATCCATTAATAATGGGAACATGGAAAGCATGAAGTATGAATCTAGGAAAATGCATGTGAAATCTGGACAATGAGTAAGGAAAACCAAAGAAGAATTGATACATTTGAATCGTGGTGTTGTCCAAGAACACTGAATATACCATGGACTGCCAAAAGAATGAACAAATCTGTTTTGGAAGAAGTACAGCCAGAATGCTCAATAGAAGCGAGGATGGCAAGACTTAATTTCATGTAATTTGGACACGTTTTCAGGAGGGGCCAGTCCCTGGAGAAGGACATCATGCTTGGTAAAATAAAAAGTCAGAGAAAAAGAGGAAGACTTTCAACGAGATGGACTGACACAGTGGCTGCAACAATGGGCTGAAGCATAGCAACGATTGTAAGGATGGCGAAGGACCAGGCAGTGTTTCGTTCTGTTGTACATAGTGTCACTATAAGTCAGAACTGACTCGACAGCACCTAACAGCCAACAACGACAATTCTCCAGAACTGTGAGACAATAAATTTCTGTTGCTTAAACCACCTACTTTGAGATACTTTTGTGTGTGTGTGTGTGTGTGAGTTCTTCAGTCTTCCTTTTTCATTGTCCAGTTTTCACATACATGTGAGTCAATTGAAAATACCATGTCTTAGGTCAGGCACACTTTAGTCATCAAAGTGACATTTTTGCTTTTTAAGATTTTAAGGAGGTCTTTTGCCGCAGATTTGCCCAATGCAATACATGGTTTAATTTCTTGACTGCTGCTTCCATGGGCATTGACTGTTGATACAAGTAAAATGAAACCCTTGACAGCTTCAATCTTTTCTCCGTTTACCATGATGTTGCTTATTGGTCCAAGTGTAAGAATTTTTGTTTTCTTTATGTTGAGGTGTAATCCATACTGAAGGCTGTAGTCTTTGATCTTCATCAGTAAGTTCTTCAAGTCCTCTTCACTTTCAGCAAGCAAAGTTTAGTCATTTGCATATCACAGGTGGTTAGTGAGTCTTCCTCCTATCCTGATGCCATGTTCATCTTCATATAGTCCAGCTTCTTAGATTATTTGCTCAACATACATATTGAATAAGTATGATGAAAAAATACAGCCTTGATGCACACCTTTTTTTAATTTTAAACCACACAGTATCCACTTGTTTTGTTCAAACAACTGCCTCTTGGTCTATGTACAGGTCCCTCATGAGCATAATTAAGTGCTCTGGAATTCCCATTCTTCACAATGCTATCCATAATTTGTTATGATCCACATAGTCGAATGCCTTTGCATAGTCAATGAAATACAGGTAATCATCTTCTGGTATTTTCTGCTTTCAGCCAAGATCCATCTGACATCAGCAATGATATCTCTAATTCCACATCCTCTTCTGAATTTGGCTTGAGTTTCTGTCAGTTCCCTGTCTATGTATGGCAGCAGCCAGTTTTGAATTTAGCAAAGTTTTACTTGCATGTAATATTAATGATATTGTTAAATAATGTTCACATTCCATTGGATCACCTGTTTTTGGAATGAGCATGAATATGGCACTCTTCCAGTTGATTGTCCGGGTAGCTGTCTTCCAAATTTCTTGGCATATACACGTGCATGCTTTCAGCATTGCATCCATATGTTGAAGCATCTCAGTTGTTATTCAGTCAATTCCTGAAACCTTGTTTTTGCCAGTGCCTTCAATGCAGCTTGGCCTTCTTCCTTCAGTACCTAATTTGCACAAATTATTTTTAAAAAAGATATTTTTGAGACAATTGGAAATTTGAAAACTGATTGGATATTTGGTAATATTAAGAAATTATTACTAATTTTTCAAGATATAATGTTATTATGTTAATATTCCTTCTCTTTTAGAGCTGCATGTTGAAATATGTACAGATGAAATGTGATTTCTGGGATTTGCTTCAAATGAAAATGGGGGAGGAAAAGTGTATGAATGGGGTATAGATGAAATAAGATTGGCCATGAATTGATTATTGTTGAAGCTGGATGACTGGCACATGGGAGTTCATTATATCATTCTGTCTACTTTTTCATATTTTTTAAAATGTTCAAAAGAAAATATTTTTAAAAAATCTGTTATACTTCTTGTTTATGTTTTTAGTATTATTTTTATGTTCATATCCCATAGAGATAAAGGCAAATAAATCTTCCAAATTATTACACATGTTTGAATTAACTGATTCTTTGTTATCTGCATTGTCAATTAACATTAATTTCTTAATTTTTTTTCTTTTTTTTTTTTGCATATGTGGTCCATATATGTAGGAGATGGTTCTGATCACTTTAAGATTGATGCCAACGGTGATGAACTAAGAACAACCACAGTACCTTCGTATGATTGTAGACCTTCCTACAGGATGACTGTAATTGCCAGTGACCAGGGCATGCCTCCCCTTGAAGGACAGGCAGTTGTTAATATTCAGGTAATGTTCCGTTGTCACCACAGAATGAAAAAGGATGTTCTGAAGGTTTTGTATGATTTTTATGCAAGTGCATACAGTGACGATGTATTAAACATATGAATACTCTTTTATTCCATTGCACATACCGTAAGTACTTTTTGATTATCACTAGAGAAAGTATTTAGATCCAAATAATTTAAAAAATTCACTGTGTATAGTTCTTGACAAGATCATTACTTCCGTTACTGTATGGGCATTTATGTTGCTTTGTCTATCTAAAATGAGCAAAAAGTGTCTTTTCTTCTACTTGTTCCCAAATGCAAGGATGTGGTAAGTTTCCAGGAGAAACTTGTATGTAAACAAATGGCCACACGATAAATTACGTTGTTTTTTGTAATTTTTTTAAACTTAGAACTAAGTCATGTAAAATTCATATTTTAATATTTTTCTTTAATTGTAATGAAGAGACAAGTTGTGGAAAGTCTTTATAGTAGAAAAAATTACACCAACCATTCAAAAATAAGATGACTTTGCATTGCTAGATTTTTCTGTTCATACACATGACAGTTATACTAACGTAAGCATGTATAATGATCAATAATATATATTCCCAGGAGTTCTGTTTCCAAATTATATTCTTTATTGATTAAGGATATGTGAGTTAGCAGAAAATTCTATATGGTCATACGTCAACTCTTTTGTTTCAGAGAAACAAAGGCACATGATATTTAAAATGTACACATGTTGTCGTTATGCATATATTGGTCTCTAGGATTAAAAGTAATTTGGACAACTAGCCATTCCATATTCCCATTGAAGAATCACAAGCTGCAGTTCAGCATGACCTCATCAAACTATCATCTCACACTTTTTCCCCTTTTTTTCTTTTTTTTATTGTTGTTTAAATGAAGTTTACATTTCAAGTTAGTCTGTCTTACAAAAATTTACACACACATTGCTATTTGACCCCAACTGCTCTCCTCGTACTGTGACAGCACACTCCTCCTTCCCACCCGTGATTCCCCATATCCATTCAACCAGCTCTTAACCCTCTCAGCCTTCCCATCTCAACTCCAGACAGAAGCTGCCTGTTTAGTCTCTTGTATCTATTTGAGCTAAGAGGCACATTCCTCACAAGTATCGCTTTATGTCCCAAAGTCCAGTCAAATCCCTGTCTGAAGAGTTGGCCTCAGAAATTGTTTTAGTTCTGGGCTGATAGAGAATCCGGGGGCCGTGCTCTCCAGGGTTCCTCCAGTCTTAGACCATTAAGTCTGGTCTTCTTACTAGAATTTGAGTTCTGCACCCCACCTTTCTCCTGCTCTATCTGGGACTCTCTGGTGTGTTCCCTGTCAGAGCAGTCATTGGTGGTAGCTGGGCACCATCTAGTTCTTCTGGTCTCAGGCTGATGAAGTCTCTGGTTTATGGGGCCCTTTCTGTCTCTCGGTCTAATACTTTCCTTGTGTCTTTGGTGTTCTTCATTCTCCTTTACTCCAGGTGGTTGGAACCAATTGATGCGTCTTAGATGGCTGCTTGCAAGCTTTTAAGACCCCAGACGCCATTCACCAAAGGAGGATGCAGAACATTTTCTTAATAAGCTTTGTTATGCCAGTTGACGTGATGTCCCCTGAAAGCACGGTCCCCAGACCCCTACCCCTACTACTCTGTCCCTCAAAGTGTTTGATTGTATTCAGGAAACTTCTTAGCTTTGGTTTAGTCCAGTTGTGCTGACTTCCCCTGTAGTGTGTGTTGTCCTTCCCTTCACCTAAGATAATTCTTGTCTACTATCTAGTTAGTAAATAGACCTAACCTTCCTCCCCACCCTCGTTACCAATAAACAATGTTTTCTTCTGTGTTTAAACCTTTTCTTGAATTCTTATAATAGTGGTCTCATACAATATTTGTCCTTCTGTGACTGACTAAATTCACTCAGCATAATAAGCTCCAGATTCCTCCATGTTATAAGATGTTTCACAGCGTCATTGTTGTTCTTTATCGTTACATAGTATTCCATTGTGTGGATATACCATAATTTGTTTATCCATTCATCCGTTGATGGGCACCTAGGTTGCTTCCATCTTTTTGCTATTGTGAACAGTGCTGCAGTGAACATGGGTGTGCATATATCTATTTGTGTGACTGCTCTTATTTCTCTAGGATATATTCCAAGGAGCAAGATAGCCTGGATCGTATGGTACTTCTATTTCTAGCTTTTTAAGGAAGCACCAAATCAATTTCCAAAGTGGTTGTACCATTTTACATTCCCACTAACAGTGTATAAGTGTTCCAGTCTCTCCACAACCTCTCCAGCATTTATTGTTTTGTGTTTTTTGGATTAATGATAGCCTCTTTGGGGTGAGATGATATCTCATTGTAGATTTGATCTGCGTTTCTCTAATGGCTAATGATCTTGAGCATTTCTTCATCTGTCTGTTAGCCATCTGAATATCTTCTTTGGTGAAGTGCCTGTTCATATCCTTTGCCCATGTGTTAATTGGTTTATTTGTCTTTTTGTTGTTGAGGTTTTGCAGTATCTTGTAGATTTTAGAGATTAGACGCTGATGAGATTTGTTGTAGCCAAAAATTTTTGCCCAGTCTGTAGGTTGTCTTTTCACTCTTTTGGTGAAGTCTTTTGATGAGCATAAGTGTTTGATTTTTAGGAGCTCCCATTTATCAAGTCTCTCTTCTTGTGCTTGTGCATTGTTACTTATGGTTCATATTGTGTTCATGCCATGTGTTAGGGCTCCTAGCATTGTCCCTATTTTTTTCTTCCATGATCTTTATCGTTTTTCATTTTATGTTTAAGTCTTTGATCCATTTTGGTTAGTTTTTGTGCATGGTGAGAAGTACGGGTCTTGTTTCAGTTTTTTGCAGATGGATATCCAGTTATGCCAGCACCATTTGTTAAAGAGACTGTCTTTTCCCCACTGAACGGACTTTGGGCCTTTGTCAAATATCAGCTGCTCATAGGTGGATGAATTTACGTCCGGATTCTCAATTCTGTTCCATTGGTCTATGTATCTGTTGTTGTACCAGTACTAGGCTGTTTTGACTACCATGGCAGTATAATAGGTTCTAAACTCAGGTAGTGTGAGGACTCCCACTTTGTTCTTCTTCATCAGTAATGCTTTACTTATCCAAGGCCTCTTCCCTTTCCATATGAAGTTGGTGATTTGTTTCTCCATGTCATTAAACAATGCTGTTGAAATTTGGACTGAGATTGCATTTTATCTGTAGATCGCTTGGGGTTGAATTGACATTTTCACAATGTGAGTCTTCTCTCCATGAGCAAGTTATGTTTTTCCACTTATGCAGGTCTCTTTTGGTTTCTTGCAGTAGTGTCTTGTAGTTTTCATTGTGTAGGTCTTTTACGTCTCTGGTTAGATTTATTCCTAGTATTTTATCTTCTTGAGGGCTATTGTAAATGGTATTAATTTGGTGATTTCCTCTTGGAGGTTCTCTTTGTTGGTGTAAAGGA